GTCAGCGTGGCGGCAAGTTCGCTCGCGTTCCTGACCGTCTGCTGCTGCCCAGGCACGGCTTGGAAGGACCGCGACGCCCCTCCCCCTTCCCAAGTGCCTTTCCTGGAGCGCCCTCAGGCACTTCACCAGTGCCTATTCTGCGCTGAGGAAGGTTTTTGGAAGGTCTTAGGAAGGTTCTTCCAAAAACCCTCCTGAGGAAGGGTTTTGGAAGGTTTTAGGAAGGTTCTTCCAAAAACAACCCTCCTGAGAAAGGTCTCCCCTCCCCCCCACACCCCACTCCGCCAGACAGCCTGAAGCAGTATTTTAGACGCGTGCCCTTCCGAGAGCTGTTGCAGTTGGCCCCCGGCTGGCCGCTGTCCGATGCTCCCCTCGCCGCTCTCGCACTCGTCGAACCATCGCTGGCCTCGGTTCGAGGAGTGGCGCTGATGTTCCACCTGCATCCCCTTCTCCATGCGTCGAGGTGCGATGCTATCAGCAGGTCGTTCCCCCCTCGGTCTCCCGTTCGATCGCCAAGGCCGCTCGGCAGGCCGTTGACCCCCCTTCTGGAAGCACTGCTGTCAAACATCGCCGTAGAGAGGCTGGGTAAGGATTCAAGGCTGTCTTGAGAACGCTCCGCCTCCCCCCGCGCCCTTTGGGCGGCGCTCGGTGCGATCGAAATGGGGACGGAGATAATGAGGACGAAAGCCGACAGCAGTTCGAAGCGAGGGAAACCATAAAAAACAACCTCGAAGCGAGGTGGCGCGACGGCCGGTACGATCGAAACGGGTACGGAAACAATGGCGACGAAGACGGGCAGCACTTGCTGTCTATTTTGAGCAGAACTCGTTGTCGGTCTTGCCCGCGGGCGCTCTCTGCTTGGGGCGAAGAGTCGCCTGCCCAACGGCGGCCGCTGCCGTTTTTGGACAGCACTTGCTGCTGGGCATGGTTCCACTTTTCTTCCGTCCCCACCCCGGGCGAGCCAGTCGTTGGGCGACGCGGCGCAGCTTGTGGGACCCAGGCGCGTCTGTGATGGGAGCGCAGGGCTTGGGAAAAGCCCAGACGTACTATCATGCCGTCTGCCGCGCTACCCGGAAATTTGAATGGCGAAGTCTGTTGCGACCTGATGTTCTACAAACAGGAACAGAAGGTATTTCACATAATCGACCGCGGCATTCGATGCGGTGCTGGAACCGAGATACGATATAAAACTATGACCAACATCTTAGATGCGCGGCATCAGTGCTGGATGCAATTCGGACCTGCCGAAGCTGACGGAGAAGATGCTTGCAATAATGACACCGCAAAGGCACTTCTTGAGGCAAAATGCACTGAACTGAGGATACGTGCGCGTGGACAACGCGTTGTGAGTAGTGAAGCCAGAAGTGGCATACTACGACACCTACTTCACGTCTGTTAGACATACCACTTGTGTTCGCCCGACTATTGCACGAGGCTCTGTTTGCCGCCAGCGCGCCTTCTTTCTTTAATGAGGCATCCCCATGCAGCGCGCTGTTTGGAAACATCCGCTCATACTCGAGAACATACCTATCCGCCGGGTAAGAATTGAGGCTGTCACCCAAGCCACCGCAATAGCTATAACGAACCGTGCACTACGAACCAAGACGGCCATCGCTGGTCAGCACTTCAATGACGAAGGAGATCTGGTTGACTACCATCGTCCCAGTATTACATAAGACGACAGGGGTGGCTGGAATGGACCCTTCCCGGTCGCACGGAATGATCCCGACAGGGGTCTAATTATCATCGGAATTGGGAACCGCGATGTACGAGTCCAGCGCGGTGGCGCACGACGCTCATTGTACATTGAAGCTCTGATCACTCGAGAGATTGGCTCGGACAACACAGAATTACGGACTGTGTTGGCATTCATAGCGAGCCTACCTGCGGGGCGACCTGCCACGACCTTTGAATGCCCCCCGACCGAAGAGGGAATGCTCCAGATGACGAGTCCGAGCCGACTATCTCCCAAGGTACACTTAGCTCTTCAGTACCTCATCGGGAACTGCTTCCGTATTCAAAACGTAGTTGCTGCTAGGTCGGCCAAGCGTATTCACATGTTACCTCCGGTGGCGAGGGCTCTGCCCAGGCTGCCCACTACGGATGTGAACCCAGGCTTCCACTACTACGATGCAGAAGGCACTGCCCTAAACATTTGCGACATAACTGGATCGGCACACTCAAGAATCATCCAGTGCCTGAAGGCCACCAAACCCCCAGCGGGCTTCTATCAAGACGCGACGAAGTTCGAGGAATTGGCCGACATGCCAGCACAAGGCAATGACGCCAGGGAGGCCCCAGAAATCGAACCACCACAGGAAGACGGCTGCCTTCCCACCGTCCATGAGGAACCAGAGGCGGACCTCGAGGCGCACATTTTGGATGTGGTTCTCAGAATGACAAGACGTAGGGAACTGTTGGAGACAATTCCAATAGACGAGCTCTGTAGACAATTCCAATAGACGAGCTCTGTACTGTACCCGCGTAGATGACTATTGACAACAGCGCGCTGGCCACAGTTTCTGAAGAACAGCAGGGGCACCTGCCTACGTGGGGCGACCCACAGGACACATGCGCAACCGAGACATATCATGTCCCCTTGGGCTCCACGGACAAAGATGACAGCTACGGATTGAAGTCCGAACAGCACGGACAATTCGTATAACTCTGCTTTACGGCAGAAATGTCACAGCTAGTCTTATCCAAACAACAGCACGGAACATTGGACTTCGACCGTGCGACCACTATGCGAGCATATGTGACCGTTGCAGCTGAACGAACTGCAGGCGTCAAGGAGGACGACCTTCTCGCCGCGGCAGGTAGTCGGGAGAATCCAGTCGAGGTATCGAAGGCCCTAGATACTGAACCCAAGACATGATTTGACAACAAGTGTTTCAGGATACAAGATTAATCCAATGCGTCAAACATCACGACTTCGAGGCACGTTTATAAACCCAAGTTCGTCATTAACGAAAGGGCGAGATTGAACGCGCCATCACATTGCGCGCGGAACTTCGGGGCTTCATGGATCTCGACGCCTTCGACGCGGGAACGCGCTCATGGGCGGCGCGGCGGTCAAGCCAGCGATTGCTCGCTAGCGCGGCAGCGTGCAAGAAGCAGTGGGTCATTGCTTCCCTTGACATCAACATGGTTTTCTTTAAGGGACTTACGTATCGGGAGTTTGCTGGAGCAACCGATGAAAAGGAACGCGCTGCGTGAAGCACAGCGCCACCTGGCTCGGCATCTTTTCTCGCCCCCCCCCCCCCCCCCCCCCCCCCCCCGGGGCCCCAGCGATGCGACGAGCCGAGAGGGTGTTTGCAGCGCCTCAGACCAGGCACTGGCACCGAGGATGCACCGAGAGCCTTCTCACTGAAGCTCAGGAAGACCAGAGGGGGTTTGGGTCCTCAGCCCGCGTCCTGCGACGAGGAGCTCGAGACGAGCTATAACCTTCTTGCTGCCAAACATGCCGGTGATATAAACATGGCCGGCACCGTGGGCACCGTCGTCGTGCGCGCCAAGTGCGTCGAAAATATGTTTGGGAGATGTAAACTCAACAAACACACGGGCGCCAACTGCGCCGTGAGATCTGCCAAGGACAGCGACGGCAATGTCACCTTTGACCAAGAGGAATACATAGAACAGCCCCGTCCGATCCAGCGTCATGAACTCACTGGCGCAGATGCTGAGGCCGAGGCATCGAAAATGGTTGCTGGCATGTTTCTCAGCCTCAGAGGCGCTTTGGATTTCGCCCTTATCACGCAAGTGTGGTTGATGGTATATGTGGCATCATTACGGCGTGCCCAAGAACCGACCGACATGCAAGTGCGACGACTGAGCGCGATTACCAGGAAGTTGCAGGCCTGCCTTAAGGAGATCGTTTATCAAGCGATGGCACCCACGGGCGAGGTCGACCTGCGCGGCGACTCCGGCTACCGGCGTCAGAACGGAGATGCCGACGACGAAGTCATGGGCTATGGTACTCGCGGGGCAAACCTGCTCAGGCGTGGACGCGCGTTTGCTGGTAAACCCGTCGTCCATCTTGTCGACGCGCACTGCAAGTCCCACTGCTTGCAGGTCCGCTCGAGCTACTCAGCGGAAACATTTGCAGTGGCCCACAATTTGGAGGACTGCTATTCCACGATCGCCACTCTGCGCGAACTCCACGCAGGGCCGCGGGCACCCACTCAACTGAAGGATATACATGAGATGGGCGGCTTGAGCATTCAGGTCACTTCGATCACTGATGCAGAGCATGTCTTCACGTCCTTGTCCAGCAAAGATCTGCATATGCCGACTGAGTGTACACATTTGGGACACATCAGTTGGATACGACAAATGATGGAGCGAGGTGTCGCGCATCGTGCGCAGTGGTGGGGCACTCGCGATATGCCTGCGGATGGCCACACCAAGGGGAGCGTCGACAGAGGCATGCTCCTACAAGTCATGGGAGGAGTGCAATCCTTCACGCACGACCTGGGGCGACACACCCCCTACAGGGCTGGCCAGACGAGATCATCTGAGCTCCCTGAGGAGTAGTTATATGCAGGGTAATTTGTCTGCGAAGTAACTTGCCTGCAAGATAACTTGCATGCGGGTCAACCTGGCTCTATTGAGCCCGCCTGCTGCTGCCTACCTTGTGTATCATAGTGTTTTGATGGATAGCTGGCGGCGGACTCACGCTTCGACTCCTCCCCCCGACTCAAATTGGAGGTTCGGCAAAAGCGAGAGGTAGCGAGCGTTTGTCCGCGGTCGTTTGTGTTCAAGCGGCCGGCCACCAAGATTTGATTGTGCTTCGCCGCGGGGCACACTGTTTGCCATCGGGACCGCACACACTTTCGCTTGACATGGCTCGTCGCTCCCGCGACTCTCCCTTGCTCTTGGGATTATTGTTACTACGGTATAAAAGAGTTGGATACGGGCTTCGGTTTAGGCGAAGCATTTGGTTGGGCCTCCCGACCAGCTTCGAATTTCCAGTGGAGTCCTCAAAAAACCCACCATCGGCTGTTCCCTCGGTATGGGCCCGCGGAGACCCGTCGGTGGCCACGTTGCAGACGGCGACGGGGCACAGG